GGCACAAGCCCTTTTTGGCGCTGTCCATGTGGGTCATCATTCACCGTCTTCATTCCCACCTTGGTGACGCGTTTCGGCTCGAACCATGTTGTGGGCACCGATCCAAAGCTGATTGACACCGCGTTTGCTCCAACATTCTTGGACGGCTTCGGGGTTATTACGCCTACATCAATTAGCGCCTGGATCTTATCCTTGAGGTGGTAACACGACTTGGTAGGATGATGGACCGCTCTATGGTATGCGCAATACTTCGGATCCGTCACTTTGTTAGCCCCTTCTTGATCCACGATCACTGGCAGCTGAATTTTGTTGTTCTCCAACAAGTACTTGAAGATGCTGGGAACTTCATCATCTTCGAAGGAGTACACTTTGGGAAATCTTGGCTCTGAAGACTTCTGCTTTTGAGGCCGTTGTTGCCATTGTGACTGCGATTGTTGTGGCGCTCGTTGTTGCTGCCGCTGCTGTTGTTGCTGAGGTTGCAATTGAAAGGTTTGGTTAGCGTCAACTGCATTAGCATGTGCCTTACCTTTCCCCCGTGGGACGAAATTCTGTTGCGGACCATTATTCGCCTGTTGGCCTTTTTGTGCCTTCTTTCTTCTGATGAATCGCTCGGCCTGCTCTCCTCGGACCTTCAGATCCTTCCATGTTTTGGACGGTGCTGTTCCCATTGCTTCCAACACGTCCAGTGCGAGGTTGTTGTGGCACGTCTGGAGGATGAATTCCTCGGTGATCGGGTCCCGACAGTTCATCGCCTTGTTCCGGAACCTTTTGACGAAGGTGTCCACAAATTCTCCATCTTTCTGCTTCTCGTCCAGCAACGATCCGATGGATATCTCTGTGTCGTCGTCGAAGAAGTTGGCGAGGAATTTGGTCTCCATGTCGTCCCAACTATTCACGCTACCTGGCTTGAGGCGGCGATACCAATCGAAGGCGGCTCCGCGAAGAGTGCCGACGAATGACCGCACCATCAGAGGCTCATTGCCGGAGATTACCCCCAAGTGTGATTTGAAGTAAATCAAATGTTGAGTGGGGGAACCCATCCCATTAAACGGCGTGAAGTTAATTAGGTTGAACTTCACCGGATATGGAATTGATTCCCATTCTCTTGGGTATGGACAAGGAATGCCTGTTTTCTTCGTTTCTTGAGCGGAAATCAACGTGTTGATTTTGCTCTCGAGATTTTTAGTTTTCAAGTTTTCACCTGAGTCTGCATTGACATTCTCGTTACCACCCCCTGCATTGACGGGAGGATTATTATGCGTCTCATTAGTGTCTTCGTCTTCCAGATTCACCGGGTTACGACGACTTGGCTCGCCTTGCTGGTTCGTCAATGCCTGGATTTGCTGGTCATGCATTTCTCTCATGTTTTGCATGGCCATCTGCATTTCGAACCTGAAGGTTTTCTGTTGTTTAGCTAAGGCGTCTTCAAGCATTTTGGCCACTTGTTCCGCACTTATCATAAGTGCCTCGCGGGGTTGTCCCTCGTTGGATACCGTATTATCTGATGCGACCGCGGAGCCGGCATCAGATTCTTCATCTTCTGAAGGGAGCCTTGTTCGAACCCTACCATAGGTTGCTCGCTTGATGGTTCCGGATTGCAGACGGGTTCTAGGCCGGGATGCTTCCAGAATTGACTCGAGATTATCTCGCGCCGATGTCCCTCTGCTGGTCATGTTGGTGGTGACCCTCGGAAATTCTCCCTCTTCAGCCACCGTTCTTCTTCGTCGGAAACACCTAGGCCATGTCTTCGGCATTTCGGTACTGAGCCTTTCGAAAACCGAAACTCGTTCGGGGACCGCCTTGATGCAGCTGCATTCAGACAATACTGCCCGAATGAGTTTGGAACAGGGGCACTGAGTTTCCTAGTTTTGGGGACTCCTTTTCCTGGTTTTATTCGTACCCCCAGCACGATAGTACAACTCGTCTTCTTGACGATCGGAGTAACCTATCGTGTGTTGGCACGACTTCTCAGGTATAACATTATCGTCATCAGACGATAATGTTTTCTTCTGAGGGGGAACTACCTTCTTCGGGCTTTCAAAAGTCACGCGCCTCGTAACATGCCTTTTTGGGCGTGAGTGCTCGGCGAGCTCGTGGACTTCAATGCACAAGTTGGTGCGCGTAGCTGCCCTAGTCTCTTTGTCATGTTGGAGGTGACGGCGACCCCCAGCATGTTGCGTCGTCTGGGGCTTCTTCATCGGGCCCAAACGATCTCGAACAGGAGCTTTGCCTCTCTCGTCGGGAATCGGACCGAGGCTTACCTGCGACTTTGGTTGATTCACCGGAGGTTGAATTTTGGTTGGAGGCTGCTTCGGCCTCCACACTTGGCGGGTTGATGGCGGCTTCTTGACCACTCTTTCTTTCTTCAATTCCTCGGCCTTCTGCACGAGGATTCTTGCTTGTGCAAGTAATGCGCGGCGTTTGTGAATCTGCTCCTCGAGTGTCGAACGGTTCCGTTTGACCCGGATCCATTCGTTCGTTGGCGGCTTTGAGGAACCGCCATTCTTCAGTTGTTGAGGCTGTTTGCCTCTCCTATTCTTCAGATCCGCGTGATAGTGGACTCCGTCGGTGGACTCCATCGCCTTTGCGAGTTGCCGCGCAAGGCGTTGACGGCGCCTCTGGCGGGCTCTCTTCGAGAGAGTCACAACGCCTTCAACAGTAGAAGCGTTGACGAGAACAGGTTTGACCTCGTTGGAGGTCGGTGGAACTTCACGCTGAGCAGACTTTGGCGTTAAACACTTGGGGTGAAGAGCGTCGTTTCGGTGTTCTGGATCTTCAAACCGCAACGAGCTTTTCTGCGCTGGAGGAGAACATTGGACTTCTGGAACTTGCGGGGGGAGGTTGAAGTCAGACGAGGATGAGAGGACTCCTCGAACTATTGGCCTGGCGAATTCATACTCGACCTCGCTCGCTCGACCGGTCGATCGGAAATACCGCGGCTGCGACGTGACGATCTCGGCAGCGAGATCGGTGGCTCCCACTGTTGGTCGCCAGATTTGTTCGCTGTGAAAATTGTTGCTTTTCTGTCATACATTGATTCCATTGCAGATTCTTGTAATAGTTTTATCGATTACAAAGATCCGTTTTTTTAGATCCGGTTACCAACAGGAAAATCAAATAACCCAAAAATAAAAAATGACAACTTTCTCGCTTATTTGTCGAACGAATCGCAAAGATGCCTGTTTTGCGGTCTCTTGCTTGTGTTGGGTTTCTTTGCGCGACGCCGGGGTTATCCGTCGACCACACGCGCGAATCTAGATCCGGTCGATTCTACAACTTTGTTCGACGGGTATTATTTCGGCAAAGGAAATAAATACGTAGGGTACTAATTCGGCTAAGGAAATAATAGCCTTTTAATGCTACGGATCAAAGGCCAACGCTTTGGGGCCCCCGCGGAGTGTGATTTCGTGTAGATCTTCAGAATACCGATCTTTACCCTTCTCCCGAAATCTGCTTTTGCTGACGTGGACGTTCGCGCGAGATCAGATCTGAATCCTTCAAGTCTTCAAGTCTTCCAAGTTCTCAAAACTCTGAGCTAAATCGCTTCAATTCGGCAGAGTTTATGGCTCTCAAAGTCTGCCAACCTTTCAAAAGCTGAAAGCAAGGGGGCATATTTATAGCTCCCTTCTACTGTGGGCCCCGGGCGGCAGATCGCCAGCCGCCGGCCACCTCAGGGGTGCTCGGCGCGCGACTTGGCCGAGTCCCCTGAGGTGGCTCGCCACGGCTTGGCGAGCCATCCAGAGGTGCTAGCTAAGGCCGAGGCCCCCCCATTGGTATTGGTTTCCGTCGTGTTTTCGTGCTTTCGGTTCTGTCCGTGATTGGTTGTAATTCAACTCTGATTCGTTGATTAGGCTGAATTTGGCAGTAAGTCGGATTCCTGATTTGGCAGTAAATCCACTTCTGAGTTTGAGTCCGAAACCGATCTTGATTCGGTCGTGATTCATCCGAGTCCGCTCTTGTTTGGATGACTCGTTGACTCCCCGAACCGTTGGCTTGATTCCGCACGCGAATGGATGCATTCCGTTGCTCGCGTACGATTCGTTGACCTCGTCGCCTCGTCACTCGATGGTTTGTCGAATCATCGCGGTGAGCTATGCCAAGGGTCTTATAAGCAATTTTACATGCCTACAAAAGGCTGCCAAATCCTCTCTCTCTCTCTCTCTCTCTCACAATATCCTTGAACCTGGTTGCACCCTCTGTTAAACCCTGATTACAAGAAGATTGTCTCTCTCCCTCTCTTTACCCTAAAACCCTAGAATAGGACGTCTTATTTAAAGACACTCCTGATTTGCCCACCAAGTTAACTTAGCATTTATGTAGGCATCAAAAATTGCCTATAGCGGTTAGCAGGCGGTTAGAGTAGTTATGCGCATGTTAGCAGGCGATATCTCTCCTGCTAATCTGCGCATCTACTGAGATTTCAATGGCGAAGAAGAAGAAGTTTAGCGGGAAAAATTCCTCAAATCTGGACTGGGAGCTTCGATCTCATCTCAGATCGATCACGAGGAGCTTTTGGACACTAATTCTGTTGATAGCGGTGATGGTGAAGATTCTCTTATAGGATCTACGGGTCCAAAGGGAACAGGGAAGGCTAAATCCATGGCGGAGATTCTTGATTCTTCTTTCTCAGGGAATGATTCTTATAGAGAGCTAATGCTGAATCCAATGGTGGGAACTCATTCTAGATTACTCAACAAATCTTTAATGGCGGGAATTCAAGATCGGCAACCCTATAGTTCCCCGTTGGCGAGAATCCAAGATATTAATCACTGTAAGTCTTCTCCATCTTGTTTTGAAGGAAAGAGCTCTTCTAGGGTTTCTTGGGCAGAGGAAGCAGATTTGGTTGATTCCTCTAGTTCTTCCTTATCAAAGCAGTTTCCTAGTGCTAAATCTGATGCTAGATCTTTCTTGATTCCAAACTTAGAGTTCTTCCTTATCAAAGCAGTTTCCTAGTGCTAAATCTGATGCTAGATCTTTCTTGATTCCAAACTTAGCTGTTAATGAGGATTCTGATATCTTCTAGATCTTTCTTGATTCCAAACTTAGCTGTTAATGAGGATTCTGATATCTTGAATGTGATAAAGGATAGTGAGAATTTTAAAGAATCCGAGAAGCCTATTGATTTAGAAAATTCTAATCAGAAAACTTCTTCAATTACTACCAAAAGCTGGATAAGTTTGTTTTCAGACAACAGGAAAATGGGAAATGATTTGGAATTGAATTATGTCCCCTCAGAGTCTAAGGATTCTGTTATATTTGATGATGATGAATGGAATGAGGGTGCCAAAATCTGGCAATTTTCTTTGATTGGGCAAGTCTTAGGTATGAATATCAGATTTAAGGCTATGGAGAGCTTTATTAAGAAAGTTTGGAAGCATTCTCCTGAAATCTGTTTGCTAAGGGCTGGGATTTTTCTATTCAAGTTCAAGAGCAAGAATGATATGAATGATGTAATAAGCAATGGTCCATGGTTTTTTGGATCAAGACCCTTGCTCTTGAAACCATGGGCAGTGAATGAGGAAATCTATAAATCTGATGATTGCATCTACCCCTTATGGATCCAATTACCTGAGCTGAAATTAAACTTATGGAATTCTAAATGCATCAGCAAAATTGCAAGCATCATAGGAAAGCCTGTTGCCACTGATAAATTGACTGCTACTAAGCAAAGATTGACCTATGCTAGAGTTCTTGTGGAGGTTAAAATGCCAACAGTCCTTCCAGACCAGATAACTGTTCAGGGTCCTAATGGAAAATCTTATAATCAGAAGATTCACTATGAATTCAAACCTAGATGGTGTGATTTGTGCAAAGTTGTAAGACATGATGCAAACTATTGCAAAAAAATATCTAGAGTACAAAAATGGATCCCTAAACAAAAAGTATTTCCTGGTGACATTGGAAATTCAGCTGGTGGTAATACCAATGGTGGATCTGTTGGAATGGTACAAGTTCCTTAGGAACAGGTTGTACATGATCAGGGGACTGAGGGTAAGGGGTCTTTACAGCAGGGGGAAAAACCTTGCAATGATCTAAGGCCTGTGCATGTTTTACACAGGAAAAGAATTCCAGTTCATGATATGGGTTTGCCACACCAATCTGGTGATCAAATGGAGTATTTACAGGAAATACATTGTCATGGAACTGAAGGAAAGGGGTTATCACAACTGGGGGAAAACCCTGGTAATAATCTGTCTGTGCATGTTTTTCACAGGAAAAGCAATGATACCTTAATTCATAAATCTGTTGATCAAATGGAGTGTTTGCAATATGTACATACTCAGAGAATAGATTTATATAAAGGAAAGGGGCTTTTACTAGAAGAGAACTTTGGCAGGCCTGTGCATGTTGTGCACAACCAAATGCCAGAATCTGCTACTGAGGGGTATAATCCCTGGATATCAGCTAAAAGAAACAAGTCCTTTTTTCCTGTTAAATCTCAGATTGAAGGCTGTACTCACACAAATGATATCAATAGTCCTAGCAAAATGATAACTGGGAATCCTTTTTTATCCTTGGATAGATTGGATTTTGATCCCTCTACAATTGATAGGGGGAATCTGTTAAAATGAATATTTCTTTTTGGAATGTGAGAGGGTTGAATAAACCCTCAAAGCAATTGACGGTGAAGCATCACTTGAGGGATTACCACCTATCTTTTATTGCTCTACTTGAAACTAAAATTAAGGGATCCTTACTACCTAAGGCTGCTAAGAAAATTGCAAATAACTGGGGATGGATGTCTAATGTCTGTTCCCCTAGAAAAGCAAGAATCCTCATATTATGGGATACAAATGTTCTGGACATTCAAACTATTGCAACCTCTGATCAACATATATCCTGCTCAGTTAAATCTGTGGATGGAAAGCTTGACTTTGTCATTTCTTCAATATATGGACACAACCATATGGATGCCAGGAAGGAGTTATGGACTAATCTGATCAATGTTCAACAAATCATTGGGACTTTACCTTGGATTATTTTTGGTGATTTTAATACCATGTTAAGCAATGAAGAAAAACTAGGAGGCAATGCTTTATCTGATGCTGATACAACAGATTTTGACAACTTCATTAATGGTTGTTATCTGTCCCATTTGAAAACTATTGGTTGTTACTACACCTGGAATAATAAACAAGAGACAGACTCTAGAGTGTGGTGCAGATTGGACAGGGCTTTGATTAATGATTCTTGGATTAGCATGTATAATGCCAGCCAAATTGAATTTCTCCTTCCAAACTTATCTGATCATTCTCTAGGACTTGTGTCTGTTTTTGAGAATAATGCTCAAGGGAGAAAGCCTTTTAAATTTTTTAAAATGTGGTCCAATCATTCTAGTTTCCTGGATACAGTTTCAAATGCTTGGCAGTCAACCTTTGAGGGATACACCATGTATTCTATATATTCAAAACTCAAGCTTCTGAAGGTTTCTCTCAAAGTTTTAAACAAGAAACACTATAACAATATCAGTGAACAGGTGGTAAGAGCAAGAAAAGTTCTGGAAGAGGTTCAAAAGCTCCTTCAATCAAGTCCTCTTGATCCAGAACTTATTAAACAAGAAAAGGACAGCATTATCACTTATAATAAACTAATGGATTGTGAACTGTTTTTTTTTCAGCAAAAGGCTAGAATTAACTGGAGCTTACAAGGTGACAGGTGTACCAAATTCTTCCATGATGTTGCTAAAACTAACAGACACAACAACAGAATTTTGGTCCTCTATAACAATGGAGGGGATAGAATTACAGATGGTGATGAGATTATTAATGAATTAATTGCTTTCTACAAAAAACTAATGGGGACTGCTATGCCAACTATCCCTCCTGATATCAATGTCATTAAAGCAGGGCCTTGTTTAAATGAATCACTTATCAGAGAAATGTCTAGGCCTGTTTCAAAAGAGGAAATAAAGGATGCAATCTTCTCTTTCAAAAGAGGAAATAAAGGATGCAATCTTCTCTATGTCTGAAAATAAGGCTCCAGGGCCAGATGGTTTCAGTGTTTCTTTTTTCAAAGCTGCCTGGTCCATTATAGGCAATGAAGTCACTCAGGCAATAGAGGAATTCTTCAAATCTGGGAAGCTCTTGGGGGAGGTGAACTCCACTTCTATTACTCTTATACCTAAGGTCAATTGTCCAAAGTCCCCTTCTGATTTCAGACCTATTTTATGTTGCAACTGCATGTATAAATTTATTTCAAAGATTCTGGCAAATAGGATTAAGAAGGTGATGGGGTTCCTAGTGAATGATGCACAGTGTGCTTTTGTTCAAGGCAGGCAGATCACCAGTAACATAATGCTTGCTCAGGAGCTTGTTAAAAGCTATAACAGGAAGAATATATCTTCAAGAGCAATGTTAAATATTGATATTAGAAAGGCTTTTGACTCCATTAGCTGGGATTTTATATCTGATATGCTCAAGGGATTAGGGTTTCCAAGTGTTATGGTCAAGTGGATTATGTCTTGCATTACATCTCCAAAATTCTCACTCTCTTTCAATGGATCACTTCATGGCTATTTCAAGGGTGAGCGTGGCCTAAGACAAGGGGATCCTCTCTCACCTTACCTCTTTATATTGGGAATGGAATACCTCTCTAGGAGTTTGGGCTTACTGAAAAAAGATAAGCTATTCAAATTCCATCCTAAATGTGGTAAGCTCAAGATCACGCATCTTATGTTTGCAGATGACTTACTCCTCTTCTCTAAAGGTGACTTATACTCAGTTGTAAAGTTGTTCCAGTGTGTTAAAAATTTTGGCCTTATCTCTGGTCTTGAAGCAAATCATGAAAAAAGCTCTATATACTATGGAGGGGTTGATGATCAGATGAAAACCAGAATAAATAATTGCCTGAGATTTGATGTAGGGGTCCTTCCCTTCAAATACCTGGGTTTGCCTCTAATAACCAAAAGAATGTCCACTCTGGACTGTCTTCCTCTGTTCAGAAAGATAGAAGGTCAATTCAAAAAATGGGTTAATCATAGGAATCTCTCCTATGCAGGTAGACTTCAGGTCATTAAAAGTGTGATCCTTGGAGTGCAGATTTACTGGACATCTAACTACATTCTTCCAAAATGTGTACTCAAAAGAATAGATGACCTATGCAGGAAATTCCTGTGGGGAAATAATAACAGGACCCCTTTAGTTGCTTGGGATAGAGTCTGTGAAAGTAAGAAATATGGAGGCTTGGGTATCTTCTCAGCATCTACTTGGAGTATGGCATCTGCATTGCGATGTATATGGTATATTCACAACAACAAAGAGAACTTATGGATCAAATGGATTCATAGTGTATATTTAAGGCACAAAGACATTTGGCAAGTCACAGCAAAAAATGGAGACTCATGGTCCTGGAAACAAATGATAAAGGTCAGAGATGTTTTTTTGGTTCGATGTGGAGGTGCGGAAAATCTAAAAACTCTTATCTCCTCTTGCTATATAAAATGACAAAATCAAATTGTCAGCTCTTTATAATGCTCTCTCATCTGCTCAAACTATGGTGCCTTGGTGAAAATTTGTCTGGGAGGTATCGAATATTCCTAAGCACTCTTTTGTTAGTTGATTGGCGATACAGAACAAGCTTCTCACACAAGACAGGTTATTAAAGAGGGGAATAATCACTTCTAACACCTGCTACTTATATTTTGGAGCTGGACAGGAATCTAGAGATCACCTGTTTTTTGAATGCTTTTATTCAAGTAGAGTTTGGAATTCTATCATGGATTTGTTGAAGTTCAATTGGAAATCTTGCCTATGGAGATACATTTTGGATTGGTACTCTAAAAGGTTGAAGGGAAGAGGATTCAAGCAAAAAATAAAGAGGATGGCATTAACAACTACAATCTATTGCATTTGGAGAGAACGAAATGACAGGTTGTTCAACCAGAAAAGTAAAAATCCTGTCAGCTTGGCGAATGAAATCAAGTTTGAAATGTTAACTGCAGTGCTTAATAGTCCATTATCTGCTTACTGGGAAGATTTATATTGTTGAAATCTGGGTTGGTATGCTCCCGGATCCTCTTTTGTTTTCTCAGTTGATATGCTGAGTTATAAGGTGTACTTAACTCTCTCATTTTGGTGATGAAATAAAAATCTTTCACTGGCCAAAAAAAAAAAAAATTGCCTATAGGTCCCCGAATACATCTCAAGACAAAGAGAAGACGATAAGCGTCATCATTCAAGTTAGGAAAGGATTATCCGGCCCCATGGAAGCTAACAAATATACAAAGTGAATCATTAGAGTGTACAAATCAACGGAATGACGAAATGCGCAATACAAGTCCGGAGAAGTCAGAAAGTGTCAAACACCTCAAAGTGACCCGCACAAAGGATTGGCATTTAGACCATGTTATAATTTGTATCTAAGGAAACTCAACATATAAAAGTTGTAGGTATCTTCGTCAGCTTTACAACGCATCTTGAACCAGCTCAATCCGAGGTCGGACGAGAGAGTTAAGACCAAAATACCGAAGATACCATAACATGACCCATGCTATAGTAACCGCGGGTCACCAAAGAGTGACCCGTGCTACAGTAACCACGGGTCACCAAAATCCGATCCGCCACAGTAATCTGATCCGCTACAGTAATCCGGCGTGCTACAGTGATTCCGACCCGCTACAGAACCGACCTGCGCTACAGTGATCTGATCACACAAAGAAGTAAAGTTTTGACTATGCTGCGATTTGAATCTGAAAAATCTCAAAACATAAAAGTTTTAGATCTCTTCGTCAGTTTTCCAACGCATCTTGAATCAGCTTAATCGGAGGTCGTACGAAAGAGTTAAGGCCAAAATATCAAAGATATCTCAAACTGACCCGCGCAGCGGCGGGGCGGATCAGTCCGCCCCGCGCGGCGGCGGGTCGGATCCATCCGACCCGCACCCACGCGGGTCCCATCAGTCCGTCTCGCGCCCAGAACTACCCGTAACTTCCAAAACGCGTTTTTAGGCTGTTTTGATCGGTTTCTTCTGTTCCAGAGTATCCTAACTGACTTGATATCATCCCCAAATGTGGTTAGGCTGTTGTTAACTGAAGATAGAGCCAAATCACTTGTTCTTATCCTAAAACCCGTATCCGGAGCCCTATAAATACAAGCCTAGGACCTCCTTTCAAGTGGGGCGAATTATTATCAAGACGTGGAGGTGCTGCTGGATTGAGGAGTCAAGGAGCACGAATTTCAGCGAAGGCAAATCAGATCCCGACGAACTTCGGCATAAAGAAAGAGCTATTCGAAGGATCTGAACCCCGTCCGTCCGTCCCGTGAGATTAGGCTTAGTCTTAATCTCGAGAAGAGCCCTGATTTCACTTGGTCGATTTGAGTGCTTCAAATCAGACACTCCCTCGGTGAAGGCGAAGCTCTGCCTAATTTTTTATGAACCGGATCCAGATCAAAGGTGGTCCACGAATAAACCCCGGCACAGGCAAAGACACCCACGCAAGCAGAAGATCGATAGACGATCCCCCTGCGTTTGTTTTGACGAGAGTTGTAACTTTTGTTTTCATTGTGTAAGAGTCTTATAAAAAGACTATCTTTTTTTGTTTTCATTGTAAAGACTGAAGTTATAATGAATACCGTAATGAATACATCAATTTTTGACGCAAACAATTTAAAAAAACTACTAGGACTGGGCCTAGTTTTCATATCCGCATCCAACTTGGAGCTTGAGTCGGTACCCAATACTAAGGACATTATTAGAAATTAAAATTTCATTCCCACTTGCAAATAAATGATATCAAATATGAGAATGGGACTAAGATTGATATTCCCGCTTCGTTCCATAAATGTACACAAACATGAGAATTAGAATGAACAGTTCATTTTCATATTCATTTTGCATGACATCATTTTCTGCATTCCATTCCATTTTCACATGATTTCGTTCCAGCGTACCAAACAAGGCCCATCCTCAAAACTCTCCGGATTAAACTTCTCCAGATCCTCCCAGTATTTAGAATCTCGTCGCATTGCCCGTGCATTGATAATTACTCAAGCTCCAAGCTCGATGTTGTATCAACGTCGAGCACTTTGCATGTATTGGTGCATTCGTGACTAGATTCAAATAGTGAAAGGTCTAGAACGTAATGTCTTCATCTTCAATTGTCAATTTTCGTTTGAGCGCTTGTCGGAGCTCGAATTGCGCCTTTTTCAAGAAAAAAAGGGCTCTTCATGAACTATGCCCTTGTCCATTCGATAGCTGTCAATGTAGAGCTCGTACCTCTGAAGAACAAGTATTGTGCCAATACTAGATAGAAAAAGAGTATGTTTGGGAGAGCCTATTGTTAGGAGCTTACAACTCATAGAAAATTCGTCACGTACAAATGCACGTGACAGGAAAAAGGCACATATGAATTAAAAACTTTAACTGAGACGTATGGGACATAATAAGATTTTCGAAATCAAAATCAACTACTAATTTGTTTAAGGAGAAAGTAAAATGATGTTCATTTATTTTTTATTTGCAAGAAAGTTGATATTTTGAAATTAATTTCATCCTTTTTAACAAAATACATATATCAATATTATTTTTGCAGTCCTGGTTTATAGGGTTAATAGATTAAAGAATATTTATAGTTTTGATCCTCTCTTTTTAATTTACTTTCCACAACTTTAAGAAATATTAATTTATTGGTGTTATAATAATTTATATTTGGGAGTGATTATTGTTCTGGTGCCCTTTGGAAGAGGGGGCTCAGAGGGTAATTTCTCAAAGATATTTATTAACTATAGTTTACAAGTTTGCAGCAAAAGATTACAAGGAGGAATCGACGTTTTTGAAGGTGACTTCATACAAGCGTAAGGTGGAGATTATTTTGACATAGTCTTGTATTTCATAAAATTCTAGTTGGACTTGGATTGAGGATTAAATTTAATTAGAAATAATCAATTGCAATTGGAATTGAATTCTAATCGTAAATAATTAGAATTGATAATCCAAGTTAGAGAAGGAGTCCTACAAGAATTCTAGAAAGAGGAAACCTCCTTAAATACCATTTTAGAGGTTCATTGTAAATCAAGCCATAAGAGATCTAATAAGAGATGTAAATTGTAAGAGAGAAGTAGAATGAACTAAGGGGAGAAATCTAGGGTTTGTGAGAGATATTTTGGTGAGATTGAGAGAGAGTTTTTTGTGGGATCTATCTTAGATAATAAGAATAGATTATCTTGTAATATGTAGAATAAAAGAAGACTTGATTCTATTCTCTTGATTTGTTATTCTATGGTATTTGCTTTACTCTTTTGTTCGAACTAGTGTTTGGTGTTTTCACATTGCCCAATGATTGATTGGTCTATAAAAAAAGGAGAATAACTAATCATGGTGTTTGGTTACACTTCCGCATAGATATCCAAGTGTTGCACAACGATTAGTCTCGGGCTGTGGGTGGCATGCACTAACAATTGGTATCAGAGTGTCAGATATTACCAACAATTGGTATCGGAGCAGAATTTCAATTAGATTAGACTTAACTTTGAGGAAAGGTTTGATTTTTGTGGCATGGAGATGGAAAACTCTTCTGTGATGAAGATCGAGGTTGAAAAGTTCGATGGCAAGAAGGATTTTGGGCTTTGGCGGAAAAGGATTGAGACATTCTTGATCCAACATGACCTAGATCAAGCTTTGCTGAGGGTGGAGAAGAAGCAAAAGATGACAAGTGATGAGTGGAATAGGATGGATAAGAAGGCAGGAAGTATGATTCTATTCTCTCTTTTGTGGTACCACATGATCGAGGAAACTATCTCAATCAGCATGTGGAAGAAACTCGATGAGTTGTACATGGCCAAGAATGTAGCTACAAACTTGTACCAGAAGCAACAATTGTATGGATTGTGGATGAAAGGAGGTACATCACTGTTGGAGCATTTAAGAAACTATAACAAGACGGTGATCCAGTTAGCGCCAATGGGGTCAAAGATTGAAGATGATGACAAAGTGGTAATTTTGCTTAGTTCTTTTCTCGTGAGCTACCAATATTTGAGGACATGATAATCATAGACAACCCCAGAATCACTATGGACGAGGTCAAAGCAATACTTCTCACGGAGGAATTTCAATGGCGACAAGGTGCTGGTGATGAGTCAGGCTCTGGTGCCGGGTTAATAGCAGATCTGTGAGGGAAGTCTTCAAACTAGGTAGGATCACAATCTATGTGTTGCTTATTTTGCTAAGAAAGGGTCACATGAAAAAAGACTACTTCAAATGCACAGAGTGGTTGAAGGGGCAAAATATGGGAGATAGGGTAAACTAAGCTTCATATGAACTTGGTATTATGGAAAATCAACTAGATGAGGCATTGGCAGTTTCAGAGGGTGAAATTCGGTGGGTTGAGGTGTCGATGGTTCCTATTGTAGGCGTCAAAAATTACCTATGAATTTCCGCACGCAGCTCGAGATGAAAAGAATACGATGAACGTTATTATCCACATCAAGGAGGATTATCTGATGTTATAGATAAGCTAACAAATATACAAAGCGAGTTGATGAAACATACAAATCAACGAGATGGTATAATAACGAAGAAGCGACTCGACCTGGGGTTACATTTCACCCACAAATGAGTAAGCACCACTCGTGTCTCACTCATCCCAAAGGTGTCTCACCCATGGGAGGTTGTAGAGATCTTCATGAGCTTTCTAATACACCTTGGATTACTTCATTACGAGGTTGGACGAGAGAGTTAGAGCCAAAACACTCAAGACAGTCCAGACTGTTTCGCACCTACGAGACACCAATTGTGTCTTGTACATTTTGACCATGATACAATTCGAATATGAAGAATCTCAAAAAATAAAAGTTGCAGGTCTCTTTATTATCTTTCCAACTCATTTTGAATCATCTTATTCCGAATTTTTTTCAAAATAGTTATGACCAAAATACCCGAGATAGTCCAAGCTGTCTCGAACATGTGCGAGACAGTTGAAGTGACTCGCGCGCAAGTCAGCTCCCGATGTGTTTTCTAATAAGATTAGCATCTAAAACTCCTTGGGGTCATCCATAAATATGTAGGTTTATCTTTAAACGTGTGGAAGCTGTTACATAATCAAAAACCCACCTAAACGGATAATAACGGTTGTTCTTCGACCCTATCCACAAACACAGCATTCCTATCCACAAATATGGCACTTAAATCCTATAAATACACCCCTATCACCCTCATAAAAGGAGATCTAAAGGGAGCCATGAATTTTAGAGGATTTAGAACGAGTGCAGCATGAATTTCAGAGGAGGGCTAGCAGATCTTGGCGAACTTTAGCATAAAGAGTAAGCTATTCGAAGGATCTGAAGCCTCGTTCCCCCTTTCCTCCGGATCAAACTTGGTTTTGATATTGAGAAGAGTTGTAATCTCGCTTAGTCGAGATTATCACTTCTGTAATTATTTTCTTTGTGAAGCAAGAGCATTGACTAACTTTTCTATCAACCGGATCTGATCCGTGGCGATTCACGAACTAACACATCCCCGGCACAGGCGAAGATCCCACACTAACAGAGACTAATAAATAGGATTTGTGTGTTATTTGATAAAGTTATAATCTTTTATTTTTCATTGTGTAAGAAAATCTTATAAAAAGATTAACTTTTCTATTTTTTGAACTTGTTATCGATAAACTATTATAACATGTTCAATGATAATAAAAAACCAACTTTTGACCCAAACACATTGTCGACCATAGTGAGAGCCAACAACCTTCCTACGAAGGCTGTTGTAGGTAATAAAAATTACCTTAATTCGTAGCAAAAAAGCTCAAAACTGACAAAAAATGCTAATATCTCTCAAACCGTAAGGAATTTGGTAAAACGAACAGGAGCAAACCGAACCCTTTGGGGATGGTTTGGTCGGCTCTATCTTATCGAGATAGTCGATTTTTATATATAATTCGTCTAATTCCGACTTACGGTTTGAAAGTTATGACCTTGTAGGCATAAAAAATTGCCTATAGGTTCTCGCATAGAGCTCGAGATAAAAAAAGACAATGAATGTTACTATCCGAGTCAAGGAGGATTATATGAGTCAAAGGAGATCATCTGATATTGTAGAGAAGCTAAAAAGCACACGAAATAAGTCGGCGAAGCGTACGAGTCTGTGAAACATGCTAAACGATAAAGGAACAACTCAACCAGGAGTTGTGCTTTATCCACAAAAGGGTAAAGTACCATGTGTGTCTCATCTACTATATGAGTGTTTTGCCTATGGAAAGTTGTAGATCTCTTCATCAGCTTTCCAACGCATCTTAGATTATCTTATTCCGAGATCGGACGAGGGAGTTAGAGCTAAAATACCCGAGACAACACAAACTGTCTCAGAAGTGCGAGACAGACTTCACTATCTCGGAATGCGAGACAGTCATGACTATCTCACACAAAATCTGAAGAAGGTCAAAAGATAAAAGTTGTAGATCTATTCGTCATCTTTCCAACGCATCTTGGATCATCTCATTCTGATATCAAACGAGGGAGTTAGAGCCAAAATACCCGAGATAGTACAAACTGTCTCGGAAGTGCGAGACAGACTTCACTGTCTCGGCCATAGAGTTGGTTACAACACGTTTTTTGACGGTTTTTTGGCTTCATAACTACTTGAGATCAACCATAAACATGGGGAGATGGTTACAAACTGAAAGGAGACCCACTAACATCATAAAAGGATGGTATTTAGGTAGTGGGACAATGGTTACAAAAGGGGGCTGATTAGAGAGCATCCAAGGGGGCTGATTAGAGAGCATCCGATCGAGCATTTGATAGAGCAATCCAGAGCAGAGAGAGCATTTTGGAGCAGAAGAGACTTGAGCTTTTATTGATTTTGAGGAAGAAATAGAGAATTTTTACCCTTTGACAAGCATGATTTGGTGATTCCTAGAGATCTAAGCTCAGACTTGATCTTTGGACGAGTGAACATCTTACATCGATAAGATATTCGCTTTCAAATCTTTACTTCGATAAACGAAGGAAAGATTCCCAAACACCCTCACGATCTGTGAATCGGTGGTCAACGAGCCAAAGCACTCCCGGCACAGGCAAAGTCCCACAAAACAGGAGTTGATGTAATTTTTCTTTTGTTGTGTAAAAGAAGTCTTATAAAAAGACTATCTCTTTTGAATTTGTTGTAATCGACCGAAGATATAATGAATTCCATAACAAAACCAACTTTTGACGCAAACAAGCTGGCGACCACAGTGGGAGCCAACGGTCTCGCTGCCGAGACCGTCGTGTCGCAGCCGATCAAGATCCCGGTTGAATCCATGGTCGAATACGAATTCGACCAAACCAAGTTTGAGGAATATCTCTCATCATCCTCTTCAAGATCTTCATTGTCTCGCAAGTATAAGAGGATCTCACAATGGAGGAAGACCTACATGCCAAAGAAGGCACAAAATGAAGACTCTCGCCTGATTGTTGCTGAGGATTTTACTCACAACACCTCTGCTCACAATGAATCTTATCTAGTTAAAGAGTCATCGAATCAAAGCCCACCGGCACTGACGAAGAGGGCTCGTCAGAGACAACGTCAGCGCCGCGCTCGTCAAATAGCTAAGGCTTTGGAACAAACCGACGGGGTTCGTTATCATGCGGACCTAGAGTCGAGGAGATATCGAGTGGTTCAGTTGTCTCAACAACCAATCACTCATATTTCTGCTAAACTAACGACGGATGAATGGACTTTAGTCAAGAGGGCTCGCTCAACCCTCAAAGAAAGTATACAAAAGCATTGTGCAAACGCTGCTTATGCCCGTGCTCTTTCATAACAAAGACGAGAAAGGAAGAAGGAAACGGTGGCCAAAGAACCACCGAAACTCTGCCAAGTTTGGATTCCAAAGTTTGGAGTTGTAAAAAATCAGCATTCGGAGCCCGTTAAGACTCCATACCCGCAAGGGGGTGGTTCTAAACGTGCGACTCCCGACATAACCTTGGATCGCTCAAAGACAATAATAAATTGTCCTGAGAATGCCAACAAGGTTTTACACCCCCAGAAGAAGACGTGTTCACCAAAAGACATCGTCATACCTGGGAGGTCAGGCCAACAGACGATACGATTTTTTGGCAATCATACCGATGAATCGTATTATCAAGTTGAGGGTGTGAGTAAATTTCGAAAGAGAGTTATTCGAGAAATAAACTCTCATTGTTCCTGTGCGCGACTCGTTAAAGCAGCATTATCAGAATGTGACTGTTTCAAACGAGAAGCCATCCCACGAAGAGTCTCTGTATTGTCGAAGCCTAAGCCGAGATATTTCCGCAAAAGAAAATCAGCTGTCCAAGATGATGAATTCCCTGAAGTCACCATCAACGTGGCTGTTAAAAGAAAGTCTAAGCGGCATTCAAATGACTCAAATCCCGACTTTTCCCCGAGAGGAAAAGTCAATCCAAGAATTGCTCGAAGGATGTCTCGACTCCAATTAGGAGCCATCAGACGCAGAGATTACAAAAGAATGCAAGAAGGAATGTCCTCGGAGGATGAATTCTCGGTGATACAATGTCTAGCACGGGACAAATCAGAGAAGTACTCACGATCACCTCTGATCAATTTGCTCAAATGCTTCAAGAAGCTCTAACGAAGCAACGTGAAGAAATTAGAGCTGAGATGAAGACAGAGATGGAGTTAGCTATTCAACAAATAAGAGAATTGCTAACTCAACAACCTCAACCTCCTGAGTCCAGTCAACGAGCTGAATCCAGCCGCCACCCTCAGAATGTGGCAGATGATAGTGATCCAGAAGTGGATGAAGTCATTATGGCTGATACACCTCCCAATAGCAATAACGCTGGGGGTGGTTTAACGCACTCTCCCAATAACGATAGTGGGGGTGGTTCAATAGCACCTCTTACAGGGGGTGATCTAACTCATTCTCCTCATCGTCCTTCAAATGAAGGCATAGACGATGACGAGAAAATAAAAGAGCTTGAAAACAAAATCAACGCTTTGATGACAGCTCAAGAGGTGAAGAAGACGGGTATTCCATGTCCCTATCCAAAAGAATGGGATTCAATACCATACCCGGCAAAGTTCAATCTGATTAACTTCACACCGTTTGATGGGAAGAGCTCGCCTGTTCAGCATTTGATTTATTTCAAGTCTCATTTGGGCATGATCTCCGGAAATGAGGCTTTAATGGTCCGGT